AAAAAAAAAAGACTCATTTTGACATGTTAAGTCTCAGTTTCAAAAGCATAAAGTTAATCGGGCAGAACTGGGGAGTACTGTTGTATTAGCCACTTTTCCCGTTGCCAAGACACAGTAGCTGACACAACTTAAAGGAGAGTTTACTTTGCTTGTGGTGTCGGGGAGCAAAGCTGCTTATTTCATGCTGGCTGGAAGCAGAGCAAGGGAAGAGTGGTAGAATGGAAGGGACAAGGGCCTAGACATAGACCCTAGGGCCACGCCTCCACGGCCCATGCAGGCACACCCCGAGGTGTGCTTCCCCCGTGACCGGGGCAGATCCCAAAGCCGGTCAAGTTGAAACTCCATCCTAAGTGTCACGGCTGTTTTTACTCGGCTTTATTCCCTTCTGTCAGTCTTCGATCTGGACGTTTTATTTAGGGCACAGAGTATTATCTACTAGACAGGGTGGCACTGTTTGGATTCAGCAGGGCCTTTGGCTTCTACCCCTTGCTGGGTCCACAGACTGGGCCCTTGTCTCCCGCTGGTGACCAAGTGTCACAGAGAGCCGGCTGGATCCTGTTCCTGGTCATTGCCCTGATTCCATTGCTGATGACCACGAACATGCTGTTAGCTCTGAGCTGGGATCTCTGCAAACCCAGGGCATTTTCTCTGAATCTTAGTTCTTTTCCAATCATTGTGTGAGACAACTGGATGGAAAGATTATTGTGTATTTCCAGTGGAAAAGAAGTCCTAGTCTAGTACATCACTGTGGTCATCTGATTTCTTTCATTGTTTTTGAGGTATTTTCTTTTTTTCTTTTTTCTTCTTTCTTTCTTTCTTTCTTTCTTTCTTTCTTTCTTTCTTTCTTTCTCTCTCTTTCTTCTTTCTTTCTTTCTTTCTTTCTTTCTTTCTTTCTTTCTTTCTTTCTTTCTTTCTTTCTCTCTCTTTCTTCTTTCTTTCTTTCTCTCTCTCTTTCTTCTTTCTTTCTTTCTTTCTTTCTTTCTTTCTTTCTTTCTTTCTTTCTTTCTTCCCTTTTGAGACAGGGTTTCACTTTGCAGTTCAGGCTGGCCTTGAACTCACTTTGTAGTCCAGGCTGGCCTCGAACTCACAGCAATCTTCCTGCCTCAGCCTCCCAAGTGCTGGGATTACAGGTGTGTGCCACCATGTCCATGCTGAGTTATTTTATAATCCTTTAAATTGTGAAAAACCAAACCAAACCAAACCTAATGATGCCAAGGATTCTCATTCACAGGAATGCAAATTGTTGGCTAATTTTTTTATTAGTCCATGTGTACAGTACCTAATTATTACAGTCATTGTGGTGAGTTTATATATGTACACAACACATTAATTCTTTTATTCCCCTTTCCTCCTTTCCCTCTCCCCGTCTCCATTTCTTTGTCCCTTTCCCATTTGCAAAAATCCATCTCTCCACTTCCTATTATCTGTCTAGTGCAAATTAATTGTACCCAGTGGATTGCAGCTATTTATTCAGGTCCATTTGCCATCTATTTGTAAATTTATTGAAGCATTCATATATATATAAAATTTGAATTCTCATTTGAACCAGTTGTAACATTTTACTGGCTCTGTCATTAAAAAATGAATTAAACACAATCTTTTACAGGTGTTCGGCTTATATTTCCTTAGTAGTCATGACTATACCGTCTTTAAAAAAGCAAATAAAATTACCCTGTAACAAGTACATTGTTCTCAGTTTTCTTGTTTCCCACAGGGGCATGCGCATATTTCAGGCCGTGCTCAAGCGACTGAGGTAGGTGTGCTGTCATCGGCTCATCTAACAGGCAGGCATGGAGATCTGGGGAATTTTTTTAGGTGTTGGTGGCAGATTTCTATCAGGTTGGTATGTAAACCCTAATGTCTTTCTTGGGGTTCCAGGCAACATGTTGCCTCATCTTTGGCTTCTACTTGAGCTTTTGTTTAATTTTTATGCACAGGAAAACTCCCTTGTGATAACCTGCATCTTCTCTACCTTACATCACTTAGTACAGTTCTATATGCTGGACTTCAAACGCTGTGCTAATAGAAGGAAAAGAAGATTTTAGGATTTAAAGCATTCACCTCCCCTCAAAAGTAAAGTCTGTTGTTTTAGTTGCATTCAAATGTAATCTAAAATCTAAAGTTGACTCTTTCTATGCAGTTAATACAATTGATTCAATCACTGTGATTCTTTTGGCCCATGCAGTGTATTTGTTGCAATATAGGCTGCGGTGTGCTCATCACTGCTGGAGAAACGCTACTATAGCAACACATTGAATTAATGCTGTAGTTTATGTTTCCTTCATATTCTGGGGAAAAATGTGCCATTAAATCTGCTTTTATTTACAGCAAATATCAAGCCCAACTCTGGCTCTCTATTGCTTTCCTGGAACTTTTCTGATTTTTAAAAGCTTTTGGCTGTTTTTGCTAATCGCCTTTACCTCTGAGCGATCTGTTCTTCATGCATCTTTTAATTTCCTGTTGGCCCCTTTTTTATTTTTATTATGGTTTGTTTTCTCATCTACAAGCGTGTTTCTGCACTTGATTGACATGATCTTGAAACAGTCTAAAATTGCCTTTTCTTGTTTTATATAGAGCATATGGTGAACTTTACATCCTATATCCCAGGTTTGGCTGAATTCAATATTTTTCCCTTTAATTTATCTAAAATTTATGTTTTTCTTTGCTTCCAACTATCTCTTTCTTCAGTTTATTTACTTAGTCTTTACTCACATCATCAGCCAACTGTGTTGGGATGGCGTAGAAGGGCATTTACCATAGAAATAAAAGAAAGTTTTATTACATAATAAGAATAATTCATTGGTTTCGCTGATGGCAGCCATGTGAGCTGCACACATAGGGTCATTGTCTTGCATGCACCACTTACTAAAACCTTACACTTAATTCCTTCCTTTGCACGACTAGACACTACTGATGTAATGAAACTCCAGGGTTTCTCACATATAGCTAAGACCACGGATACTACACCTCTGTGTGTCAGAACTAAGAGTCCTCCATAGTTTTTAAGGAGTATTGATTTAGAATGCTAATTTTAGAATAAGTGGATTTTTTTTGACCTAGTACTAATCATCATAATATGAGCTAACAGTTACTGAGTATGCCCCACGTATTGAGTATTGGTTTCTTATAATTTCTGTGTATTAATTAATTTCATAACAGTTTCATGGAGGAAAGTACTATTACTTCTCAGATTGTAAGTATGTGGAGCCTGAGTTACAGGGAGGTTAAAACTTTTCCCCAAGGTGACAGTTTTAAAGTGTACCTGGGACTTGTTTTAGTCAAGTGTGGTAAGACATATAAACATGAAAATTACGGTCACCAGCCGAATCTGGTGGCACGTGCCTGTGGCCCCAGCACTCTGGGAGGCTGAGAGAGGAGGATCATGAGTTTGAGCTCAGCCTGGGCCACTTGGTAACTTAGTGAGACCCTGTTTCAAAGGGGTTGGGGAAGCAGCTCAGTGAGAAGAGCCTGGATCCAATCCACAGTACGAGAAGAAGAGGAAGAGGAAGAGGGAGAAAGAGAAGGAAAAGAGGAAGAGGGAGAGGGAGAAAGAGAAGGAAAAGAGGAAGAGGGAGAGGGAGAAAGAGAAGGAGAAGAGGAAAAGGGAGAAGGAGGGGGAGGGGAGGAGGAAGTGGAAGAGAATGGGGAGGAGGAGAAGAAGGAAGAAGAGGAGGAAGAGGAAGAGGAGGAGGAGGTGGAGGAGGAGGAGGAGGAGGAGGAGGAGGAGGAGGAGGAGGAGGAGGAGGAGATGTCAAACTCCAGATAATGCAGACTAAAAGTGCAATGTGATTTTAGATAAAGGGATTTGGATTGTTTTAAGATGAGGTTAATAAGGTTACTTCATATCTTTGAGTCTTAGTGCCTTATTTGTAAAACCAGAATAATTATATTTCTTGGTTTTGTTATACATAAAATGCAAGTGAAGCAATGTAAAATATTTAGCAGAGTGCTGATTTATACCTATAAGTCAACAAACATGGGGTGAGATGATTATAATTACTAGTGGAGAGGCAGGTGCTAAAACAATGGTGTAAGATCAACTCAACACCCCACTATTTGTCTGGCAGAGTTCACTTGGAAGCAGGCTCTTGCACCTTGCTTCTCACTTCCGGCTTCCCTGCCCAGCATCGTCCGCTTTCATCACTTCCGCGGACTAGACCTTCCTCCCGTGATCCTTTGCGCTGTGTGTCGCATTGCTTCCTTCCGCACCAGTGCCCCTTTCACAGCCTGGTTGCCTTGCACCCGGGTCTCTCCCAATCTCCCTCCTACACAGACTGCCACTAGTTACGCTTTCTTGGCTGTCCCATTGCATTTCCCAGATGCAATCATTCTCCTGCGTCTGAAGGGGCTTGGTTCCAGGACCTGCTCAGATGCTAAAACCCAAGCCTTTTATACAATGGCTGATTGAAAAAAAGGTGACTTTTTGTTTGTTTTTTGAGACAAGGTCTTGATATATAGTCCAGGCTGGCCTTGATGTTGCAGTGATCGTCATGCCTCAGGCTCCCAAGTGGTGGGATTACAGGCGTGCATTTCCATGCTTGGCTTGAATGTTTAATGTAAAATAATTTATTACGGTAAAAGACACATTGCCAACAACCCCCCTCATTTTGAACAGATTCATCTCATTTTTGCCACTTTCTGAAGCAGTTCTGGAAGTCCTCTTTTGTGAGTGCTTTTTACGGGGTGTGATCACAAATATGGTGAATACTGCTGCCAAGTGCTACCCAACACAAGCGCAGGCTGGTGAGAATCTTAGTGTGTCCTCATCCACCTTATCGCAGGATCTGGCACCAGGTAACTTCTGGCTTTTCCCAAAAGTCAAAATAACCACGGAAGATGAACATTTGGAATTGATTCAGGATATCAAGGCAGCCATGAGAAGGCAACTAATGACACTCAGGAAAGGGCACTTCCAGAACTGCTTCAGAAAGTGGCTGGAATGATGGGATTAGTGTGTTTGAAGCAAGGGGGCATATTTTGTGGGGGATTAATGACAATGTGTCTTTTACAATAATAAATTTAAAAAATGTAAGCACTCCATATTTTTCAATCACGTCTCATATAAAATGCCTTCATGTTTGTGTATAACCTATGCAATCTCTTAGCACACCTTTAAGTATCTCTAGATGACTTATTCTGCCTACATCACCATAAATGTTGTGCAGATAGTTGTTCTGTTGTATTCTTTAGGGAGCAGTGACAACACAGTCCATACATGTTCAGTGCAGACATATTCTTTTCCCAGATATTTTCAGTCTGCCCTGGTTGGATCCATGGATGTGGAACCTGGGCGTGGAAGGCCAGCTGTGTTGTGAGAGCCTGTAGTACACCTGTTTGGGTTTCCTCTGAAGTATCCGCCTCCCTTGGGACAGATGACAACGACTCTACCCCTCTAGGTCTCTAGTGCCAAACAGACAGGCTGTTCTTAAACCGATGTAAAAGCTAAGGAACCCATGGATGGCAGGGTGAATTCTTTGCAGAAACACCTTCGACTTCTGGGCGTTAGGCCGGGAAGCAACAGGGACTGCTTGATGGGGACATTTGTGATGACATAGCATATTTACATGTGTCTTTTGGAAGTGGGTGTAGTAGTGAGATGGGAATAATAAGTGATGCAAGTTCTCAGGGTGGGACCTGGGCTTGGCTGGGAACTGAGAAGAAGCAGTGACTCTAGAGTCAACTCCTTAGGATCCCTGGGAAGAAGGAGCCAGGTGTCTCTCACCTGCTGGCCCTAATGACCTGCTTTGTGTCCTAGCTTGGTCACCCTTTGTCACATTAGCTGTGTGACTTTGGGAAATTTACTTACATCTCTGTACTTCAGTTTTCTTGGGTCCAAAATGAGAATCAGTCTACCTCAGGCAGTGATTAAATAAAACAATATATTTAACAATGATAGAGTCTAATACTTAATAGGTGCTTTATAAGTTTTTCAACATATTTTAAAAGGGTTTGTATTATATTTCAAATATGGTACAGGGATGATACAGATATTTTTGTTGTTTGTGTAAGGGATGAGGGTGGAGTTGGAGGGCCAGATAGTCTAGCTTGTAATATTCCAGGAAACTAATTTACTAAAATGTGAGGGGAATAAAGTGCTGTCAGTGCCAGGAATAATGTGTACAAGATGAATTAATAGTACAGAGAAGGAGGTGGCCAAGACTCGGGTGGTAGGGGGTGGGTGGAAGGGAGAAGGTCAGAAATGCACTATTTTTTAAAAAGTTTATTTTAAAGAGAAAAAAGTAAAACAAAATTTCAAAACAAGAGAATAGGAGAGTAATGATGGTTAATACATTGTGTATTGATATCTTTAAATTAGCTGCAAGATATAGGCATTTAGTTGTCCAAACAATATTAGCACAAACCTTTCTTTTCATTGAACTAAAAGAAATTAGTAGTATAATGATCTTAACTACCATATATATATGGTTTTGCATTTGT